GAGACATTTTCAAAACATAGAAAATCAAAAAAATTGAACAAAATTTCTCTGGACAGAATTTATCTGGACCAGAATTTCTGTGGATCAAATTGAGGGACCTTAGACATTATGAAAATATTCGATGTCCTTTATACTATAAAGTCTTAATACTAGGGACCCTAAAAAAAAACCCCAAATAAAAATAATAAAATGTTCTTAAACATTTTTAAATATTTAAAAAAAATTCAAAAAATTTCAAAGTATAACTCAAAACTCAAAATACAATTCAAAACTCCAAAATTCTTTTTTAAACTTTTTTCAAAACTCATAAACAAACAAATTTTCTCTTTTCGAAATTCAAAATACAACTCAAAAGTCAAAACACAACTCCACACTATGGCGTTGTTTGGGAAAAAAAGTTAAGGCTATTGTGGCCTCATATATGAAAATAGCCAAAAGGCTTCAACAGTGCGATTGTTTGTACAGCTGGGTCACATTGTGAGGTACAATTACCGTTTTACCCTTTGACTACTTCAAAAAAAAGTATACAGATTGCACCTATCTTACAACTCATTTCACGCCTCTGCCCTATCTCATCTCTTGTGTCTCTCACAACGAACTGAAGCGACACGAGGGTTGAAAAATTTGTAAAACATCAACTAAAAAAATAGTTCGTGTTCAGGCCTAAAATATTTATATTTAATTTTTATTATTTATGACAATGGGATCATACACATTATAGTTGAAATAAAAATAATTGGAAACAAATTATTTGAAAAAAAAATATTTCAAAAAAAATTAATTGAAAACAAAATAGTTGGAAAAAAATTTAATTCAAGCAAATTTAATGGACAAAAAATTAATTTGAAAAAAAAATAATTGAAAAAATATTTATTTGAAAAAAAAATTAATTGAAAAAAATAAGTATTTGAAAAAAAAAATTCATTGACAACTTGATTATCAATAAATTGAGACAACCATTTATAAACTGATGATTATTAATAATTAATAAATTTAAATTTTTTTATAAATTATATTAATGGATAAAGTTTAAAAAAGAGAAAATTAGTCTACGGTTCCTCTCCCACTTTTTGTAATGGAAGAGATTCACAAAATTATTTTTTGATATCTAAGGTCCCTAAACATATATCAGAGAAATTTGACTCTTTGTCTCTCCTCCTCTACTGCAGAGCAGCACTTCCCCTCTCTCTTTCTCCGAAAGCCTAGAGAGAAGAGATGGGCAAAGTCGATCGAAACCAGACACTCCAAGATCCAACTCTCTTCTCTCTCTTCGCGCACCAAAAACCCCTCTCTTATTCTCACCCAAAAATGGTGTCTAAAACCGTAGTTCGGACAGAAGCTTCTCTGATGAACCAATTGTTGAATCCATTGCCCACGATTTCTGCACCTTCTTCGAACATTCCATCACCGAGTTCACTTCTTCTTGCGTACAAGGTACTCACTCTTAGTCCAATCCAATTCCAATTCAAGTCGATACACCCCCAAAATATATATATATATATATATACTTGTAACAACTTTTCAAGATAAAAAACCCAAAAATAGAGTTGGAAAATTTTAATTATATTGAGGAAGGAAAGGATCAAGATTGTTTCTTGTTTATTATACCTTGGACCTTGTACTGGGTTTTTCTTGTGGTTGGGTTGATGATGGAAACAGTCTTGCTAGAGTTTGAGACTTTCCATTCTCCTTTTGAGTAGTACTCGTAAACATCTCCATCTATGATCTCTGAAAACACACCAGTTCCAACTTCCATTCTTAATATTTCTCTTTCTTCTTCTTCTTCTTGGTACTTAAGGAGAGAGAAACAATATATATATATATAGAGAGAGAGAGAAAGAGAGAGAGGGTGGTGAAGCAGAGGAAAGTTCAAGGTTGGAGTGGTGAGCGGTGTGGATATATCCCCAGAGAAATTCTCTGGGTTTGAACTAAAATTTCTATAGGTTGATTTTGAAATTTCTCTGGAGAGGTAATGTTGTGGAAATGTAGAGAAATTTCTCTGGAGAGTGGGAAGTATATAGAAGGCAGAAAAATTTGAAATTTCTCTGGAGAGTCCATGAAAGGCTAAGGAGGCCAGAGAAATTTAAAATTTCTCTGGAGAGGTAATTTTGTGAGAAAGTCGGTGAAGTCAAAAAAAATTTCAAATTTTTATGGAGTGTTAAGTCCATGAGAGGCATGGAAGGCAGAGAAAATTATCTATCAAAAGCTTCTTTTCCTTTTTTTTGTTTTTTTCATTCATTCACCAAATCTCAATTGCATCCATAAACACCCTTACATTGGATGTGAGTTTACTTATGATTGCTTATTTTCCCTTCCTTTCTCAAATCAGAGAAATTTAAAAGTAGCTGTGAGAATTTCCCATGCTACAAGTTTCTCAGTGAAATTTCATACAATTGTGAGAGATGCTCTCAAAGCTTCTTTCACAAAACTAGAACCAACAACAACGCTACATATACAAATCAGAGAATTAATTACAAATTTCTCTGAAGATGTAATTTTGTGAAAAGACAGAGAAATTTCTCTGAGAGAGTGGGAAGTATATGGAAGGCAGAGAAATTTGGAGAAGGGGAGGGCAGAGAAATTTACAGTGGGAAGTTTAGGGAAGGTCAGAGAATTTTTTCTGGACCAATTTTCTTTGGACCAATTTTCTCTGAATCAATTTGAGGGACCTTAAACATTATGAAAATATTAGATATCCTTTATGATATAAAATCTTAATACGAAGGACCTTAAAAAAAAATCCCCTATTTTTTAAGCTAAGACTAAAAAATATATTTTATCTTTTTATAATTATTTTTGTCGTAACCCACTCAATCCATCTTTCCAAACGATGACTTTGTTGTTAACGGGTAATCTTTAGCAACTTCTTCTGATAAAAGACTGTTCCACCACATTGCACTTTCTTATGTTATTCTAACGTAAAAAATTGTGCGGTACTTTATTGTTGAAAATTATTTTCATAAATTTGAGATTAAAAATAAAAATATAAAAAATTTCAACCATCTTCTCCAATAATACTCTCTATAATTTTCTATTTTATATAAATTTTAATTTTATTTATAATTTTTTAATTTAAATTATGAAAAAAAAATATTATTTATACTATTGTCATAAATACCATTATTTTTTAATTTTTAAATTATATAATTTGAATAAAATAATAATTTTAGAAATTAAAAAAAATTATAGTGACACCACATATAGGGAGCAACTATAACAATCCCAGTGAAGAGTTGGAGTAGAGAACCTGTTGGAGATGACTTTGTAGTAATTGACTCCTTAATTTAATTAAAACACAAATATAAGGCGTCTTTGTAGATGCTCTAACACCTCCATCAGTGCTTCAAATTCATCATGGCACACTAACGATAACATCTCCTTCTGCTTTCTTATCGACAAAAATTAGTGGTTAGATTAATATTTATGGGAATTATCTTCTCCACCTTTGCAAAACACTAAATAATTACCTCCTAATTCAATTTCTTCTTGAAGAGAGTTGAACTCATAATCTCTCCATTGGAACTAAACCCATAAGAGAGTTATGGTGACCAACTGAACTAGATCTAGTTAATTAAAATCTGTAATCTAACATCAAATAAACATTTCACCTGAAAAATGTTAAGAATACAAAATAAATTATCAAAAAATCTATCAAATCACTCACATGGGTGTGAAACCCACGCTCGTGTGGGACTCACCCATATGAGTGTTTGGTAATTTTTTTGATAATTTTTTTTTTTAATCTCTAATGTTGTTACTCCAGCTGATACTACAAAATGTGATGTGGAACATAGCGTGTCAATTTGAAAAATGGTAGACTCTAAAATTTTTACCAAACATTTACATGAATGTGTGACTCACATGTGGATCCTCATCCATGTAAATGCTTGTTAGAAACTTTTCATAAATTTATTTGTATTCATAGCATTACACTGTCAATTTTGACATACTACATGGTTGCTATCTTTTTTCCTTTCTTTATTTCTTTATTCCTTTTCTTTTAAATGAAATTCAACAGTAACATTATGGAGAAAAAAAAAAGAAAAAAAGAACAAGTCCAACGGAAATAAAAATGATACACAATATAACAAAATAATAAAGTTGACATATGGAGTGAAGAACTTTCTTGTGAGAGATAACAAATTAACATATGTCAATTTGTCATTCAAGCCTTTAAAAAAATTTGACGTACTAAGTTTTGAAAGTTTGTATAAAAATGTTGCCATTTCCATTATAATTTTAGATTTCTCCCAACAAATGCAATGTTCTTTCTAATTTCTCCTATTTGCTTTTAACTCAAAATCATCTAACCTTGAAAGTTTTCTAATTTCTCCTATTTGCTTTTAACTCAAAATCATCTAACCTTGAAAGTTGTCTTGAACGATCGGTGAGTATACTGCTTACACTCATTCAAGCCTTTAAAAAAATTTGACGTACTAAGTTTTGAAAGTTTGTATAAAAATGTTGCCATTTCCATTATAATTTTAGATTTCTCCCAACAAATGCAATGTTCTTTCTAATTTCTCCTATTTGCTTTTAACTCAAAATCATCTAACCTTGAAAGTTATCTTGAACGATTGGTGAGTATACTGCTTACACAATTATTCAGGGTTCAATTCTAAGGGTTAAGTAACAAGAAAAAAATTTATTGTGAATTCTCGAATCCTACACTCGTTACCATTAAAACAAACCCCCTCCCGAGAAAGAAAAAAAAAAAAAAAAAACCGCCATCTCAAGCAAAAAAAATTAACAGTAGCACTATTCTCCCTTCAATGGCTAGAATTTCAACCCCCCCTCCCCCCAAAAAAAAATTGGTACAATTTTACATCAATGGTCAAGATTTATTCAAAAGTATAGCCCCACAATGGGAACTTAAAATATGAACCATTGATCAAAAAATCTGAGGCAATTTCTGGGTAAATTTCCGGGTGTATCAACAGAAACCTCTAAAACTTGACGTTAAGACACAGGAGAACAGCAGCAGCAGCAGCAACAACAACAACAACAAAAAACCCAAAGTTGTTATCCCAAGACTTGAATCCACAACCGTAAAGTTATTAGGCCAAGATCACCCCTACAGGAGAACAGCAACAAATTGGGTAATTTTATTTATCTATAAATATGATTGTGCCTTTACAGAAAACCGAAGAGAGCGCTCTCCTAAGGGTTTACATCTGACCAAACAACGATTTCAAAAACCACGCGTCAGTTAATTTTCTGAGAATTCAACCATCCTTGTTCTTCTGTTTCTGATTATCGTCAGTTAACAAAAGCTTTCTACTCCGTTTCTTGGCATTATTGGCAATGGCATCACATTTTTGTTTAGAGGTGGTGGTGGTTGCAGCAGCAGCACTGTCACTGTTGACAGTGTTGTTGCCGGTTTCCAGAGCATCCTTGACGAAGAATTTCAACCTCCATAACGTTGATTCACTCTACACAAAGAACATAATACAGTTAATGAGGCATGCACTTTTTCGAACAAAAAGAACAAAGAAAGAGTCTGGTTCAAGTTGGTGACCTGAGCATCGATGTCAAGGTCAACCTCCTCAGCTGCTGCTTGGAAGCTTGGGTTATTCTGAGCTACTATCCCAAGTGCCTTAGTAAGATCTTCAGGAGACAGCCTAGTTAAATCAGCCCCAAGTTTCCTTTTTTCTTCACTAGAAAATTTTCTGAAATGACAATTCACAGTTAGCATTAATTTCTGTGGAGATGCAAAAGCACCGGATTTAAAATGCATTCGTAGTTGGGTCAGTCACACCTGTACCCAATACGTATACAACAAATTCTCAGTCAGCATTAGTAGTTACTGCACATATGCAAAAGCAATTGTGTGAAAATGCCAATTTATGGTCCAAAGCAAAACTTGAATAATTTCTTCTTTATATTTTAATACATTCCTCAATTGAAAGAGTGGTGGTTTTAACAATTAGTAGTACTCCTAAAAACAGTGGTAACATATTTCACTCTATATCCTTGTTGGGCGTTGTTGTTGTTGTTGTTGTTGTTTTTTTTTTTTTTTTTTTATCCTTGTTGGGTAGTGTGGATCCTAATACGCGTTTTTTTTTTCTTCTTTTTTTTCTTTTTTATCCTCGTTGGGTGGTGTGGATCCTAATACGTACCAAACACTAACCGCCCGACTATGGACGTAGCCCTATTACCCTAATACCTAAGAAGCATGGACACGGACAGGACACGGACACAGTGACATGACAATTCTCAAAAAATACAAAACACGACACGTGAAGGACACACACAAAATATATAATTTTATATATTTATTATATGCCACATATATTAATATATCATTAAAAGACAATAAATAATACAGTATAACACTAATTTCTATAAATTGATATTATATTTTTTTTATGATTGTATTCTAAGTTATTTTATTCAAACTTATAATTAGTTTTGTGTATGTCTAATCAATGGACACAAGTTTAAGCAATGGACAAGTGTGTCCTCAAAGTGTTCAAATAGTGTTCGAGTTTAAATTATTTTTAAAAACATAGGACATGTTTGGATGAATGTCGGACATGTGTCGGGAAAGTGCCCGACGAGTGTCAGTGTCCGACACAGACATGGACACGCCACCCTTTTAGACGTGTCCATGCTTCTTGGCCTAATACTATATATTTATAGTTGAAATGCACAACTCTGTGTTGTATTATAATTTTTTTCAAATCATCGTGAAACCAAAACGATCATGATGTAGCCCTATTTTGCGGTGAATGATATAAATCTTTGTATTCTTATGTGCTTGATTTCAATTCTTATTTTATTTTTATTTATGTTTCGTGTCTCACCAATCCCAATTAGGTGTATCAATTCCCAATAATCCTGACAACCAACCCCTTTTCCCAACAAACAAACACACACACCAAAAAATACCTTTGTACAGCCTCATTTCTATGAATTCACAAAAGATTTAAAGTAATTCATTTGAGAACTGAAATTCCACAATTACGAGATGCTGCAAATTAGTGAACTAATGCCAGACACCTCTTGACCAAGACAATCAAACTGTTACAGTTACAGTAAAAGAACAAACCTGCAATTCTGAACCAACATTTCTCTGAGTTCTTCCAAATGCATATCGACCTCGTAAATCTGAAAAGAGTACAAAATAATTGATTTAAGGCATGTCCCTGATTATACTCCCAGAATAATATAAGTCGGTTTTCACTGAACTTGTATAATCCTAAATCATTGCAAGGAACATTATGTGTATACAATATACATATATTTCCATTGAAAGAGACACAGGTTGCTTGAAGAAAAAAAATATATATATGTATATTTACTTATTAGTTGTTTTAATATGAAATTTTATTTTGAAAGGCTCTGAAATCTCTTGACATACTTCATTACTTAGATCCCTAGCCATTTTAGCATGTGCTGCTTCCTGAGCAAGCTTCATATTTATTTCTACCTGTGCTTCCTCTTCTTCTCGTCGTTTTTCCTGCAAGCATATATGTCAAGAAATCAACAAATGAGTCTGAAACAATGATGGAGGATAATTTAACCCATCTCCTGAGCTCCAGGATGGGAGTTTCTATTTCCCCACACCACTTTCTCTTAATTCACACTTTTTTTGGGTTCGGATATCAGCTGTTTTCATTTGGAAGTTGATTTCCGAACTATCTAATTTTGTTTGAAAGTTGTGCGAACTGAGAGAAAGTGGTGTGTGAAAATAAAAGCAACTCTGAAGGATCGACACTTCTAAGTACCCAGAAAAGTTTATGGACTTGATGCTGTTTAGTTCTTGGGATTGCAACTACCTCTTCAGTGACTTTTGGCAAAAGTTGTAGCCACTTCTCCTCAAATTTTGCCAACAAGGTTTTTGCCATCACGTGAACATCACTCTTTTCATCGTTGTTGTATTTCATTGCATTTGTAAAGACCAGCCTCACATCAGCACATATATCTCTGACATTCTTATATCCAGTACCATCCTTGGCCTCCATTTGATTTTTTATTGTACTGAAGTCCATGGGTCTGTCAATAACCTAATATACACCATCCTAAACCATGTCAATGGAAGGAATATACAGAAATTCTAAGACCAAAAATAAAAAGAGAAATAAAAGAGAGAGAGAGAGAGAGAGAGAGAATGAAAAAATAAAAAGGCTGCCCCAAGTGAATCAGTAGCAATGTACAACAGCAAAGTTCAGCAACACTGGACCACAGATATATATAATCTTGTGTTTTTTGGAAAGAATTAATGAACCACACAACAAATTTGAAAAGTACCACGCTATTTTTCTTTGTAAGCTAAGCATTACTAATTTTGAAGCGTAGTAGCTCATACATCAGAGAGAGAGAGAGGGCGAGGACGCTGGTGACAATAAAAAAATAAACCAGAGAAGGCAGAATCTCCACCTCATAGTAGTCATGCAACCCAAGACCTTCAACATCTACAGGTTGCATAAAGGGCCATGCCCACTTGTGCTGAGTGATCTGAAAAGAAAGCAAGGATGCGTAAGGCAAATCAACATGTAACTTACGGACTTTAAGTTAACATGCTTTTGGATAGACAATTGTCCAAATTAACAAAATAAAGGCAAGGGAAGAAAAATAAATGTTTCAAAATTAGATTAAAATATAATCTGTTTGAGCAGCTGCAGCAGCAGAATCACTCAATAACCCATAAATACAAAGAAAATAGCACAAAATTGGTGATTACCTGACGTAATATTGTGCCAAACTGGCGCATAAGTTCTTGCATTCTCTTTGCTGCAGCTGCTTCTCTATGTGCTGCTTCTTGCTGCAGCTTCTTTATGCTAGGAATGCGTTTTTCCTTATCTTTTTCCTTCGCAATTGAGCTAGCTTTAGAATTGTTTGGTTGCTTTTTACTTGTAGTCAGGTAGAACTGTTCGACTTCATTTACTCTTTGTTCAAGCTGCAAGTAAAACCATGATACTTTACAATTCTAATTTATAACATCAACCTGAGGCACATTCAGTTCATGCCAAATCCACCCAAACTTAAACAAGAAACAACATGCTAATAAATGCACCATCAGTTTTGATGGAAATTTACCCACTTAACAAAGCCTTGCCCCAACCATAAGGGGTGACAACTTTGATAGAGATAAATAAAGATTTGAGAAATAAACCATGATCATCAAATTCACAATCTACACCACATGATAAATTATGTAGCTTGATACTAAACATTTTCAAAAAACTTCTTGAACCCCAGAATTGCTATCCAACAAGGTATAAAGTAATAGATAAAGGATGCCTAACATTGTTCACAAAAGAGAGTTAAATATACCACGGATTTACTTATCAATGACACTGTTGGCTGGCGGAGTTGGAAACTGACGCTTTTAGTGAAAGTGAAAATTAGATATCATTCTTAGAACTCAAATAATAGGATTTCTAAGGATTGATAGTTTTTCAATTAAGGTATGAAAATACTTAAAAGTAACAACCAACTACAAAATGGTTACTGTTAATGGTCACCATAATGTTGAAACTGTTGGCTGTTGTAGCAGAGCCAGTTACAAAAGGTAGGGTAGAGGACTGTTGCTGGTGATGATATGGACAACCAGAGGTGAAAATGGGGGCAACAGCAGCACGGAGGTGATGACTCTTACCTGAAATATTCTTATTTCATACTCCTCTATTTGAGTTGTCAAATCGAGATATGAATTGTGTATCATTTTTCTATTTTTCTGAATCAAGAATCATATTGTACGATTTTTTAACATCTTTAACATTAGGTGGAAAATTAATATATTTAAAAAAAAACGCAAATATTTTGCAAGAACAAAATGTGTATAATCATTAACATTACAAAAGTAAGGTTCTTAGAATTAAATACATGCATACATCAATACTTAATACATATAAAATGCAGAGTAAAGATAAAAACAAGTATGACAAAAGATATAACACCTCAATACATTATCATATCCTCGAACCAAATTTACCCTCAAAATATTTCCTATTCTTAATAATTGTATAATATGTTTTTCGTAATACCTTTAATCATCATTGATGTTAAAATTTTTAATTTACAACTTTTCATATTCTCCAATAGTTTGTACATAGTCGACAGCTTCAAGCTTTATCCAACTTCAAGCTTTATCCAATGTTTTTCGTAAATGAATAGCAGACGCGTAGTAACCTTATGACCAACATGATTAAAATGGATGAACCAGGAGAAAAATATATAAAATATGGGGCCTTAAAGATAAGATGCTGGAGAACTTCTCAAATTATTGTTAAAAAAAGAAAAGAAAAGAAGTGTTAGTTTTCACATTTCAGAAATTAAACCCACCTTATCCACCTTTGTGAATATGTCATCAACGCGATGCTTGAAATCCTCCAGTTCAGCTCCATTACCTCCAGCCATTCCTGGTTCTGTAGTTCTGAAATCTGGGATTGTTGCATTGACTGTTTCCATCTGCAATGCATCAGAGAATGAGTGAAATCATTGTTGTGGAAGATTACTGAATTACTGCTGAACTAATGATATCAATAGAAAACAAGGAAAGATGATGAAGGGGTAAAGTGTAAATCATTACTAATATTAAGGATCCTATTAACAGACTGCAAATAAGTTGACATCAACCTCCGAAGTTGTGACAAGAAGCCAAATTACAAAGGAATGAACTTGTCAGTATTTTTCAATAAAACAATAGGGCACCAGCAATCTGTTTTCACGCCCAAAATAGCAACACCCACCATATTCATCTATCACTACATTTCTACAACCAACCACAAGATCTTCTTGACTTCCCCATAATGATAGCACTGTACTCGATAGTTTTGCATTTTTTCCCAGCTATCATGGAGTTCCCATCTTAATGACAACACTAGAATTGACAAGAAATGGGAAAATTGTCTAGAAGCTTTAATGGCGTTGAACTGTTTTTGTTCTACATAAAAAATTAACACCCAAGTCCTATGTTATGCTTGATATGCTATATGAAATATATTTGGCCTCTTTAACTTCTTGTAACCGATGCCGAGACACAAATAAGATTAATTAACTGCGCACAGAGATTCAGTCTTCAACTCCTATACTGTGTGGGCTATGAAAGTAAAACTTTCCACGATTGACATGAAACAATCTGACTATATTGTAAAGAACATATCTTCTATTCTTTCATACCTTTTTTTTTCTTTTCTTTTTTTTTTTTCCCTTTCACCCGGATTCAGTCACTCCAACATTAACAAATTCTATAAGGGATAAAAACCTTACAATCAATTATAAATATAATACAAGTCATGAGTTCACTGTTGCTACTTTATCACCTTGTCCATGGTTTCCTTTCCTAGTAAATGAATAATTATATATGTTGTTATACCCATTACAAAGTTGTTGAAGCTACATTAAACTTTTGCCACTATGCAGTTGTACACTGCACATCCCAAGGACAAAATTGAACAAATTAATTTTGATTTAACATATATCATTCACGAACTGCTTAAAGTGAAATGTGTAAAACTAGAACCTCTTATTCCCTTCAAGGTAGTTCAATCAAATAAACTAATTGTTCCACTTGTTACCCTCATTCGGTTACAAAATGAAACAACCAAAAAAAAAAAAAAAAAAAAAAGGAAAAATGCTTACGAAAGATTAACATATTGAAACAATTTCTTTCCCTTTCCCCTCCTTGTGACAAGTTGACAACCAACTAGAGCTTCTATGTCTCTTGAAGATAACAAAACAACAAAAAAGAAAATGCTCCGAGTTACTTAAAAATTAAAATAGTTTGATCTCTTAAACATTTACATTTCTTTGATCATGTTCTTTTTTAATAATCAATTTTTAGCTAAATTGAATGTGTGTGTGTGTGTGTACTATTATAAAGAGGAGGTGCAACTTGGTATTTATGTCTCATTTTTTTAGGTTTTCCCAAAGTACCCGATAGTAATTAGGTGGGTGGTTATGCTCTGAATTCAGAGGGTTTTTTTTTTCTTCCCCCCCTTCAAATCTGTCAACTTCTGATTTTATATTTTGAATTCAATCATACAGTTTACAATTTTATTTTTCTGAAATAAAATGATCATATGCGCACACATCACCTGTGCCGCCACTTCTAGTATATGTATAATAATTCAACAAATTCTTCTGTATAAATGCTTTCATTCCACAACTATTTTTTATTAGTGTAGCAGTGATCTTAACTTAAACTTCTTTGATCCATACATAGCGTTGAACATGCTAGTAAATTCTTAAACTTCAATTTTACATACACAGATTCAATCATTTCAATCAACAACAAAAGAAACAATTAGCCCTAATCAAATTAGATCAATTACACTTAAAATCACTCACACACACATAAATATATATACATATATTTCATTGTGTGAGGCTTTTTCAATAGAACACCTTCTCTACTACTCAAAATCATCCAAATCAACAGTAGCCTACATAATCCAAACCCCCAAAATAAAACAATTACATACATATATATATATACGTATGTATAACTAGAGAGGGAGAGAGAGAGAGAGAGAGTAAGAGTACCAACCAGCAAAGAGAGTGAACGGAGACGCGGGTGGCGAAGGCGAAAGGGGGTCTCTGGAAGTGTTTATAAGTCGAGTCCACGAGAAGAAGTCTGGTGCAGGCGCACCTGATTGTGCTCTGGACTTCGTGCCGCGGCTGATCACGAGTACGAGTTTGCCCTTTAACTCTTCAACAATGATTCATACCATTAAAAACATCATCACTAATAGTATTAATGTATTAAAAAAAAAAAATACAACTTCAAAACCAAAACATCACATCATTAATGGCAAGATCTACTGCCACCTAATTAGTGGGAACACTAATTAGTGCTCTCAAGCATTCTTCTTGTACTCTCATATTATAAAAACTGACATATCACCGTGTTATTTACAATATTGTGTTTATAATTATTTATATATATAAATTATAATTTTTAATTTTTTTTAAATATTTTTTTTATATTATATTAAAGTTTAATATTTTGATAATAATTATATTTGTTGGATTTTTTAAGAAATTAAATGTCTTTTTTTATTATATTATATCAAAGTTTAATATTTTGATGATAATCATATGTGTTGGACATTTTAAGAATTTTTTTTATGCTTATTCTTAATACATTAAAGTGTTATTATGAGGGATAATAATCATATGTGTTGGGACTTTTCAAAGAATTCATATGTGTTGGATTTCAAAGAAT